GGGGGGGGCTGGCAGGGATGGTGATGGTGATCATGGTGGTGATGATGGTGATGGAACCTGGTGGAGGCAAGTCAGTGATTTAATATGACGCATGTTAATAGAGGCCTCGGGGTGGCTGGCCTTTTCTGCGTGTGCACGTCCATGCTGAAGACAACCGTCGGTGACAACATTAATTACAGCTTTGGCGAGTGTTTACAGACCCTTATGCATGGGACTGTGTGTGTGTTAATGCGCTATGTGTGTGTGTTTACAGCAAAGCTTGGGGGGAAGCTGAGCGCTGCATCACTTACCATTTGGCCTCTGTCACTTAGAATCACTGGCTGTGCCACATATCATTCACACTCTCTATAAAGAAGCTACTTATCTCACTGTCTACTGCGATCACTGCCGGTACGGGTGATGGACATGACAGGACAGGAGAGGGAGGAAGAAGGCGGGAGATGGAGAGGGAGGAAGGCAGACAAATAGGAAAAGAGAGGAGATGAAAGGTACGAGAAAAGGAATGAAGGAAAGTAAATAAGGGAACAGGGGATGAGAGGAAAATGGAAGAGAGGAGCAGAGGTTATAGGTGCGAAGAGGAGTGGAAATGATACAAAAGAGGAAAGTGGAAAAAGGAAGAAGAGAGAAGAAAAAGTCATATGGAAGGATTTGGGGAATTAAACCAAACAAAAGGAGAAGAAAGGAGAGGAGTCAAGAGAGGACAAAAGAACTGGAGTGCAGAATAAATGAGAGGAAACATCGGAGGAAAAGGAAATACAAAAAAGGTGTGAACAGAGGAAACAAGAGTTTAACAAGTAAGACAAATAGGACAGGAGAGATAGTGAAACAAATAAAGGAAGGAAATAGAAAGAAACTGAGATATTTTGTCATGAGTGGAAAGGAAACAAAAAAAGGACAGGAAAAAAGGTGAGAATAGAGGAAATGATGAGGAAGACAAACAAAGTAAAGATGAGTGTAAAGAAGACAGAACAAAAGAATCAAGGGAGAGGACAAATCGAGAGGAAAGGACGGGAAGAGAGGAAATGTAAGTGTACGGAAAAGTAAAGAGGAGAAGGAGGAAGTGGAGGAAAAGGCAGAATGTCTAAATCAAGCTGTTTAGTGAATGGCATTGGGACGCATGCAAATAGATTCATAAGGTTGGCGTGGACAAATGCTGTTCTACTTCATTAGAATGCGCAATTCCATCTCTCTAATTGACATGTGATTAATAATGTATACAATTTGTCACAGGTCAGTATCCGGAGCACATCATGTTTCACTTTAAAAAATAGAGACAGCTGCCCAGCCCAGGGCGGGGAGGACTCACAGACCGCCTGTCACACTCAACTGAACAAAAAGATCCATTTTGATTTATTTCGGGGAATGCAGGAACGTGGTTGACGTATGGAGAGTCAGATGATGAAATATTGTCTGGAATGTGAATCCCCTTGCATATATTCTCTATATCTCATGTGAGCGTTGATTTGGGGGATAACTAGCTGCGAGGGCGATGACGTGTGTGTTCACAGGTGGCACGGGAATGATTGACTGTTGAAGGAGTGGCCAAGAGAGTGGGAACATCTAGAAATACATGAATACCAAGTAGCTTACATGGTGGATCGGCAGGTTAATGCTGTACGATTCATTGTTTTTGCTGTTTCTTGTTTGCTAAGATTTTTGTCCGGCATTCATTTTCCTTTTTGAACTATTTCAGTGGGTCCCTAACCCTAACCCAACCAGTTCTCATCCAAAGCCTCTTTTAGGCTGCGTATACACTTTTGTAAATTCATGTTGAATGATTGTTCTGTTTGTATTCCTTACACTTAGGGTCGTATTTAATGGAAAATAACAACATACCAAGTGGGCTCATTAACAGTTTTTACGAAGATTCCGACATTCACCAATGTGAATGCCCATGCATATGTAATATATAAAACCATTCATATTTCCTTTTTCCCTGTACAACTAAAGGTATCAAGCTAATTTCCTTATTATTTTGTCACCATAATCAAATACGTTTTAATTTGATAGAGTTTAATTTGCCATTATTATGATATTTATTTAAGCCTACAGCAGGGGAGTTTCAGGGAATACAATTTTTATGCTTTACGTGGAATAAAAAATATTGATTATGAGGCATTTCCATGATCTTGTTGATCCAGTTGAAGTACGTGTTCACGTGCAATCTGTCTTTCTTTGAGTGTGTTTGTGTGTCTGTGTCAGTGTGGATGTGTTTACCTGTATGGGATCTCATATGTGTACGCAGGTGGCTGGGCTGACTGAAACTCTTCCCGCACTCGTGGCAGAAATACTGTCCCTGCCGCATCAGAGACCTCATCATCCCTAAAACACACACAGGACAGAGAAACGCACAATTAGAAACAATAGTAAAGAGAAAATAGTCAGGACATCAGAGGTTCAAATTGTTAGAGGTTGAAACAGAGGTACAATAGGATTCAAATTAATGGTATGCACTGTTAGCAGACACAGGCAAGACAAGATATGTATATATGATATTTCCTTTAATACATTTACAATTGATATTTTATTAAAGTTTCAGAATTCTGCGAGGGATCTTTGCACAATATAATGCCCAAAACAATCATTAGAGTGGGACAAAAGTGGTTCTTATTAGTTTTTGGCAAACAATAACACTGTTTGTCCCATTTTTTAGATGCTTTAAAATATATTGTACTGTCAGTGGACATGCAATATTTTCTTTGTTTGTGTTGATATATCGTTTGTGTAATCTCTTTTGGGGATCGGACCTTGAGATGAGGCATGTTGCAATCGCAAGTAATGCAAATTTCATGCAGCATTTAGCAGCCACAATGCGTTTGATTGTGAATTACCCACAAGGCCACAAGTGTCTAATCCTAAAACACCTAAGAGCTGCATTTTCTTGCGATTTGCTCTTTGCTCACCGCGTCGTTGGGCGCAGAGCCTTGCGGTGAAAACAGCCAGTAAAGTTTTGTTTCTATAGTTACCTCCCCTTGCTAGCTTGCGCCGCTTAGTACCTGTCATCTGAGTGGTTGCCCCGAAAAGTCAGAGGTGAACAAGGTCAAAGTTGAAATAATTGTTACTTTTAGGGTTAGGGTTAAGATAATTTAGAGCAGGTAGCGTTCTCAATAAAAAAAACAAAGTCAGCGTTTTGCCGCTTAAAAAAAAAGAATTACATGCTGCATTCAAAGGCCAGTTGAATGTGAGCATTTATGTGTGACTTTTCTTAGAAGGGATGGAAAACGTGAACATCAGCATCAGTTTATTTCGAGGCAGAATACATTTTCAGATTGAATGACGACGTAAAGGTCAGCGTCGGGCAGTGAGAAGGGAGTGGGTGAACATGAGCACAGAGCCTGGCCCCCAGCAGCGGTGGAGCTAGGTAGCGTCAGTGGTAGTGGACTTGCTCAGGCATCATTAGTATGTCTAATGTGTCATTATGAGCGGCTAGCTCCAGGGGCTGGACTGCAGCTGTCACACAGCATCATCTCAGAGTCTGACAGGCAGACACACATAGCACACACACACACCGCATAAATTACAGGCAATTAAAACGCCCCGGCTGTGATGTGCCCGCTCCGCTGCCCGTGTGTCACATGTCAGGTGTGTATGTCTGCATGTGTGTGTTTCAAGAGTTGTATTTGTGTGTTTGGTCCAAAAAGAGGAAAGAGAGGCACAGACTGGCTGCACACACACAGAATGACTGAACACTCCCATTACATGCGCACGTCAGATTAACACGATAATGGCCTTAAATGCGGAAAGAAACTTGTTGAATTTTGATGAATTGACTCGCGAGACATGGCGTGAGTACATGAGACATTAGACATTCTTCTCTCAGTTTGTCTCTTTTAGAAGCTAAAGAAAGCAAACTTTTTGCAGTGTCAGTATTTACGCAAAACTTTAAAACAATCTTGAAGTTTGCTCTACAGTTTTCTTATCTGATACAGATAAACATTGAGTTAAGGAAAACTTTAGAAATGTTACATTAACATCAAGAACCTCATATAATATTAACATTTCCACAAGTATATATGACAAATATAAGACAGCTAACCATGTTTTAATGCTATAACACATATCCAAACAAGACATAATTGCGTTACTTGCAGGTAACAACTTTTGATTTAAAATGTTCTAAACGAGTTACTCTCAGTTTACTGCAGATGTATATCAGCATGTGTGCCCATTTCTTTATTGAATTATTGAAATGCCAACCTAGGGTTGAGATTACCTGGATAACATTTGGCCTATGTAAAGCTAAAGTACATCCTGAATTATGGCTGTTTTTAGTTTGTATCTTCATGGTTGAATGCAGTTGTAAGTTGCTTTGGATATTTGCGGCGGCTAAATGAAATGTAATTCAAAATGAACCAGCACTTGATCTATCAATTGTTGATTACCCTGCTCAGTAGACTATGTATCTTGGTCCCAATATTTGGTCAAAATAAAAAAATAAAAAAGTGTTTTTTAGTTTAATTTATTCAGTAAGAGTAGGTTATATTTTTTAATGGTACATTGATTTTGCATTAAGGGCAAATAAAAACATTAAAAAACTACGGCAAAACCATGTGATTTCTCAAATGATAATTTTAAACTAAAATAAGAAACTATAAGAAAGTGACCACAAGAAATTCATGGGGCATGAAGCCTGATTTTGTTTGGTAAAGCAGACACAATGCATACAGTGTTGCCATTGAGCATAAAGAAAACTGTTGTTTCATGTTGAGGAAATAACTGTATTTAAGAAATTACAATGTTTGACTTGAGATTTAATTGATAAGGACCTGTCAGCTTTCATATAATAAAACTTTCTGGTGGGCACCTAAATGTGCATTTCATTTGAGACTGCAACACACATACTAATGCTCTCTCTCCTGTGACCTCTCCTGCTGACAGATGAAAGACCTGGAGGTTAGTGGGTGGTCTCTGTGAGGGGGACTCCTACTGCACAGAACCCTGGCAGATGCTTCAGCAGCACCGTTAGCATTCAGCCTGGCATATACCTGGGCAGTGCCCGCTAGTTTTGTGTATGTTTGCGTGTGGATGGAGGGACCCAGCAGGACAGGGAGGCAGAGGAGGTGACAGAAAGTGTCTCTGGCAGCCCGACTGCTGGCCTCTGGATACTCTACTCCTACTGCGGGCCGCCAGCCCTTCTCACTGATGCACTAATGAAAGACAAGACAGTGCTGGACGGAAAACGCATGCGGACACACATTCGTACGCGTATTACAAAGAGAAAACAGGAGAAAGACTTCAAAAAAGGTCACTTTATAGCATGTGACTCAAAGGGCTAAGGCGGGTGGTGACGAGATGCGCCTGGACGGGTGACAGCGATGTCATGCGTCGGCTCTCGGGCTGTTGTCTTTGACCCCTGGCTCCGCACAGCCCCACTTGACCTTAGAGACACAACTGAAAATGGGCAAATAATACGCGTGTTCGGTAATGACCATTTCCAAAGCAGCTGGTGGGGTAATTATTCTGTCTCATCTCTCTCTCTCCCTGCCTCTTATTTTCCCTCTCTCTTCATTTCGTCCTCCCTCCATTCGCATCTGTGCGAGTCTCTCGTCAGGCAGAGCCGTGACCTAAACAGTTTGTGACAGCTTTCTGGGAGAGTGGAGCTTGAGACTAGGCATGCCTCGCAGACCTGAGAGTAGCAAAGGTTCTCTCACGTCTCTCACATAAAAAAAGAAGAAGAGATACACACTTGCATCTAAAAAACCCAAGCACATACTGTATGGACACACATGCACAAACACACGCTGCCCAGATATAGCCTCTTATCATATCTGACAAACATGCAAGCACACTCATGTGCTCATTTAATGGATAACCTCTTCATTGTTCAAAAGCTTGTCAGAACCATGCACCACGTGTGTCTGTCAATCACTTTCAGCCAGATGGCGAGTTAGTGTGAGAGGCAGAGTTGGCCTGTGTTGGAGAGGATAAATGTGTATACTTCATTGAAGATACTTTAGGTGTGGAACTACGTGATTGCGGCCATCGTGTTTTTTAGCCTTTGAAGTTTGTGCATTCTACTCAAGACAGCTCAAAACTGAAATACTCCGTCACTGGAAAACATTTCTCTTCAACTCTTGACATTTGGCATTTTCTCCAAAGCTAAGACCCTCAGGGCATTTGGTATATCAGCTGATGATGAGGGATTCCACAGAACGCTAACCAAGAAGGCTTTTTCCTAACGGTGGTACTACATACATTTAAAGCTACAGTTGGTAACAAAATAACAAAATAACGTTCTGTCGTATTTGGTGAAACTGTCACTATATCCTGACAGTGGTGAATGAGACAGATTATTTAAACAAAAAATCATGTTCCTTTCTAACCCAAGTTCCCCTAATGGCATTTGCAAGATTCAACTGCACCAAAATAGCATGACCAATCAGAGCCAAGGAGTCTCTAGCACTGCATGTGAACTCCAATCAAACTGTCAAACTAGGCGGAGGTGATGAATCACATTTCTGGTACTGCAATGCCTGTTTTTTACCTTTTAGAAAGATATTTGATTGTACTGTATGGTGGTAAAATAACAGTCCGCTCCAAACAATGGGCAATGCTTGGTTTTGGCTCCACCTTTTTGAACAAACCTGTGGTTTTACAGCCAAACAGTACCAGACATTTTAGTTACTGTTTATCAAATTGTTAAGTTTGACAGATTGATCGGAGTTCTCGAGACGCCTTTGCTTTCAGGAAGAGAAACATAATTTTCTTGATCTGTCTAATACAGAACTGTCAGGATATAGTGAAAGAAGAACATATGAAAACAAATATGGCAGTAGTAAAGTAGTTCCTTACCAGTGGGATCCATCAGTGCGTTGGCCGCCCCCCAGCGGTGGTAGAGGGAAGCCAGTTCATGGGGGCTGTAGTTATTGAGGAAGCCGAGAATGTCTGTTGGCGTCTCTGGCGCCTCTGCCATTGGCTCCTGCTTGACATCTCCACGAGCCTCTGAAGGCAAAGAAGAGGAGGGGGAGGAGGATGAGGAGGAAGAGTTCAGCAAAGTGCCCCCATGTGCCTGGTAGGCTCCGTAGTCATGTCCTGCAGCGGTGCTATGGGTGATGGTGCTGGGCCTCGTAGCTTTAACCCGGCTCTGGCCGTGGGCGTTGGGAAGCGGCTGATGAGGGGAACCTCTAGCCCGGCTGTACTCCGCGAGGCCATGTTTGCTGGACAGCATGAAGCCGAGGCCCTCTTGAGGCATCACATAGCGGTCAGAGATCCGGGATGCAGAAGCTGCGCTGGGGCTCGGGGCTGAGGAGCGTGAGGCGGCACCGGTGCTTTTCTCCAAAGAGCTGGAGGAAGACGACAAGCCGCCCCGAGGGTAAATATCCACTTTGGGTCTGAAGCGGGACTGATGACTCTGGTCCTCCATGTGTCTGACACTGCTGCTGGTTTTGCTGCTGCTGCCAGGCCGGACGGGGACTCTCACTGCTTGGGTTCCCGAGGTGGATGAGGAGACTCTGGAGGTCGAGGAAGAGGGGGTTGAGGAGGAGGATGATGATGGCATGGCTGCTTGACTGGCTGGCTTGCTCTTCTTCGGAACCTCGATAGAGTTGGTTGGAGGCTGGGTGCGTTGGGCACGCATCAGTGGAGGCAGCGATGGGCATTCCTTCCCCTCCAGCATTGGCGGGGGACCAGTGCGTCTCCTGGGGGATAATATATTGTCTCTGGAGCCCTTGGAACAATTTTTCAGTGCCCATTTTGGAGCAAGATTGGAGCTACTGCTGTTGATGCGGTGAGCTACAGTCTGGTGCATCCAGAGCACCTCGGGGTAGCGGGTGGAGTGGGAGCAGAAGGAGCACTTGTGGCTTGGGAGACCTTTCCTGTCCTGTGTTAGGGAGGCTATGCCCCTGCAGCCATTGGCCCTCATGCACAGATCAACAGGGGTCATGCTGGGATCGAGCGGGGAGGATCGAGCTGAGAGGTAAGCAGGAGGAGATGCTGAGTTGTTCATCCCCTGGAGGAGAGCTTTCTTCAGCTTGGGGTAACCACTTGGGGTGCCTCTGCTTGAGCAGGGGCTGGGAATAGGGCTGGGTCTCTCTCCGGGGGCAGCGGGGTGTTGGACACAAACATGAGTCGAGTAGACCTGCAGCTCTCTGGTGACAAAGTCACAAAGGCTGCAGACGTAAGGCTTCTCATCTGTAGAGGAAAGAAGGATAACATAAAGGTTAATGACTGCAAAGGAAATATTCTTGATATATATTGTACTTCTACTACTACGACTGTGCCAGATTGACATTGTTCCATCCAGATGTAGTTTTGTTGAACAGCCACCAGGCTGCAGTATTGGCCAGTTTTGCAATGTATCTCTTTCATTACCACTGTCTGTTTGTCAGCATTATTACATAAATAGTACTGCTTTGATCTGTACTGCGAGAAGGCAAAGGCCAAGAAATAAACCATTCCATTTTGGAACATATGCAAATCTCATGGCAGACACATTATGTTTCTCTTATGGAAACGTCCTTGGCTGAGCTCTGTGCTCTCCACATGCCCTTCAAGTTTCACTAGTGAATATACTGAAATAAAATGTGTACTTTGGCAATTACAAGGACGGTGAGCAAATCAACGCTAACAAAATAATAATTGTGAAACAACTACACAATAATATTACAATATAGCTTAATAAACACATTGTCATAAATAACACAAATTGGAAATGATAACATTTATAAAAGTAGTCTATAGATCTTAAGGATATTGTACTGGAATTGCATTGCATTGCAGATATGTTCTCTTTATGAAGACAGTAGTACTTCATTCTGAAATGCAGCTTCCTAAATTCCCCACAAGATGGCATTTGTGACCAATTCTTTCTTACGAATGAATGTAACTGCTGTTACAAACACACCTTAGATCTCCTAGAGTGTAATTAGAACAATAAGAATATAAATAAACCAATGAATGTTGGTACTAGAAGTAGTTGTATTCATAAGTAATAATAATAAGCACTTTGAGCACCAGGAAAGCGCTATATACATTTCATGTATTATTATAATTGATATACTAACATTACATTTCATCAAAAAACATGACAAAGTTTACAAAGGTTTAGAATATAAAACCATGTCCAGAATGTACAATATATACATGCACAGCGCACACACTTCAATATCCTATGATCCAACAGATCAGATTCTGTAGTACTCCCCCCCCCTCTTCTTCACAATAACACCAGTAACCTGCCATCTGTTTTTCGTTTGGCTTCCTGTTGGCAACACTGGCCAACACACACACACACACACACACACACACACACACACACACACACACACACACACACACACACACACACACACACACACACACACACACACACACACACACACTCTGCTGCCAAGGTGTTGCCCGGGGCTCGGCAGTGTTAGATGGGAAGGTGCTTGGACTGATGTGTCCTGGTTGATATTGGTCATTTAACAAAAGAAAAAAACATGAATTTTCCCAACACACATTATGATGCTATTATCTTATTAAGGATGTGCTTATTTAGATACATTTTGGTAAAGGAAATCAGAGCATTGGATAAAGCCAGGCTCAACATGTATTTTCATTTTGTTGAAATGTGATGCAAAGATTATTCCTGAGGGATTGTTGGATATCTTTTTGAATACTTCATAACATTCTCCATGTTTTTAGGAGTAAATGTTATATAAATCAGGCCATGTATATTATATCAACAAACCCCTCAGGGAATATCTTCAGAATATATAGAAAAATAAATTAAACTAAAATGTGTATTACATGTAAGCGAGTAATAAGACACTACTATCAATTACAATAGCTATCACCATGAAGCTTCCCCAGTTGATTACTGAGGCAGTATTACATTTGGCAACCATTTTTTTTAAGCTACAAGTATTCGGAAAATGTTTTTTTAAATATGCATTAGGCATTTTAATTAGCTATTGTCAATTAGGATTTTGAATATAGAAGAAATCTACAGATGCAATCAGGCAACATTGGTCAAATGTGAATTAGAAGTCTTCTTTTTCATAAAAAGACATGTTTTGGAATCAAAATATCCCTAAACTTTCCAAATTAAGCAGTTCATAAAACCTGTATGTAGTGTTTCAAGCAAATAGAAAATCCTGATTATTTAAGAATCAAACTGAGAATGATAACAATCAATAACACATTGTTACTGATCCGTCTAAATGCCCATAATCTCAGTGTGCATGTATACTGTCACTTCTCATTAGCATTCCTCAAAAGTAGCACTGTGTCTGTGAGGGACATCAGAGTATTCACCACTAGAGCGTCCTCTGAGTGTCTCTTTCCCCATTGCCTGCATCCTCTCCATCGGGAGGTGACTATAAATAACCAATCCCTCAGACATCGGGCAGCCTGGATGGCTCAATGGTAAGAAGAGTGGATGAGTGACAGTGGAATTGCCACAGGAGGTAACCTTAGAGATTAGGAAAGAGTCAGAGGGGACAGGGAGAAAAGGGATGGACGTGCTGAAGCCGTCGTGACAAGGATATTCATTTGGTATGCACAGAACCTGTAACCATTTTTACATGGAATGGCTTTAAAAAAAATCTGATTATATCTCTTTCTCTCTTGCTATTGCAGGTTTTGTATCCAATATATTAGATAGATTTGTATATTGTGTATATATTAAGTTAATACGATTATTTGCTATGAATTTAATTCCTCAAACTAGAGACCAGGATGTTCACCAAACCTTTCACTGCTGGAGAACAGGACTGTAATTGTGTGTCATAAGAAATAATTGGTTGTTTTACAATAAACAAGCTCAGCAAAGAGAACAAGGAAACGTGCAGACAGATTTTCCTGGCATAAAAAGGAGAGCAAAAGACAAATTCACACACAGAGGAGGGGGGTGAGGGGAGTTTCCTGACACAGGAAGACCTGAAATAGCATACAGCTCAATCAGGCCTGAAGAAATGTTGCAGCTATTTTTGAATGTCTGTACTAACAGGGAGGAATGGTAGCTATCCCTTCAGTTTGCGATCCACTATCCTTACCGGTTCTAACTGTGATTTCAGTGAGTTTGAAAGTCAAAAGACAAAAGCCAGAAAGCTCTGGTGCATTGTATACACAGGATTCCTTCCTTTAAGATATTTAAGCCATGTTTATGGGTGTTTTTTCCCTGCATGGGTAGGTTTTCTTTTTTTGCTCTGCAGTGTTTATTGGTTGTGAAGGTGAAAAAAATGATAGGCATTCCAAGAATGCCCTCTCATCTACTGACATGCAACTGAAAGGCTTGCACTTTCAGTTAACTGCTAGTTTCATACTGACAAATTGGATTGCTGTTAACATAATGTTCAGAGGCAGTTAACATGCTTTCACCATATGTGTGTGTTTGTGTGTAGTTCTCTTAACAGCTGAAGTCTGATGTAATTTCAAGATGTTGCCACATGGTGGCTCTAGCTCCCTCTCCATACACACTGATGTTATGAGGAGCTCCATCTACACAAAGCACATTTCATCAACAGATGTTTACTACAGTGACAGAGTCAGAGGCCTCCAGTGGGAGGCTTGGAAAAGGCTACGGTCATTTCTAAAATGACTGCAGCGTGTGCTTCTATTAGTAAACTGCTGTGTATACTTAATGTACCTGTTTTATGCTAGAAAGTGGAGTCAGTACCTTACAAAGACAGATTGAATATTGACTTGGCAATGGTGGTCATAAGCAAAAAATGAAACATCAAGGGAATCTTCAGCACTATATCCTCCAATTATTGATTTCATACCGAATATGTCAGATTGAAACTAAGCTGCAATTCCCAAATGAGTAATATTTAGGTTCAGCTCCCTTAAATTGCCTTTGATTCAAGATTTTAGTTTCAAAACAAAAGAACAAGATAAAAGAAGACCAACCTGTAGTCTCTCCAGAGTTTGCCGTACCCATCTCTGAGGCCTGGTTCACGAGGGTGGAGGCTGGTGGAGAGTCCCCATACCCCGGGGTGCTGGGCCGGCTGGGGGAACCTGACTCGGGATCACTGGTAGAGCCCCATCGCTCGTCTCTTGAAGCTCTTTCCTTGTAGCCCACAGATACCCTGCCTCCGTCCTTCCTGTGTACCCGCTGGTGAACGATCATCTGGTGACGACTACGGAACACCTTCCCGCACTCAAAGCATTCGTTGGACTTGGAGGCAGATGGTCGCCGCCGCTCCTGGCGAGACGAAGGCCGGTACTCGGAGTCGCTGAGGCTCTCTGGTGTCCGGTCCCCTGAAGAAGCATGGCTTCCAAAACCAGAGCTGCTGCGTCGCCCTGAGTTACGTTTCCCTTGACTTTGAAGGACATAACGGCTGCTCTCCTTCTCAAAAACCACAGCGGCCCCGGCAAGGGCTTCCTCCCCCATACTTCCTACCCCATAGGAGCCCTTGGAAATTGCCTCCACTGGCTCAACAACCCTTCCTTTTGTAGCTAATTGCCAGGCCTGGTAGCTGCAAAATGGATCTAGCTCTGGGATTCTTTGACCTAGCTTTTCATTCTCCTCTTCATCCAGAGTTTTCTTCTCAACAGGCTGGAGGTTTAAGCAGTCAAAGAAACATCTCTTAGCAGCTGGTGAGTCCTCATCATCACTGAGTTGGCATTGGCTTGGGGATTTCCTGCCATAGCTGACACTGTGGATTTTTTCATGGGCCCTCAGGCTCTCTTTGTTGTGGAACAGGTTCCCACATTTGGAACACACTTGATAGATGGATGAAATGTGGCTAGTGACAACTTCGGGATCCTGAGCTACGTCATTGATGGTGGCTGGAGGCTCAGCAGATTCCCCTTTTGACCGTGCCCTGGATTTGGTGTTGTGTGTTTTCATGTGCGACTTTAGGAACCAGGCTTCACGGAACCGTCGTCCACAGATGCGACAGCAGTGGTCCAGGATCCCTGCATGTTTCTTCATGTGTGACTTCAGAAACCAGGCCTGGGTAAACACCTGGCCGCAGGTCTCACAGGGGAAGGTCCCATCACCCTGAGGTTGGATGATTTCAGGTTCGGGCACAACCTCTTCCTTAACAGTGGTATCATCGTCTGCATCTGCTGTTATGTGGACCTTTTCAATATGGCTGAGGAGCTGATCTTCTCGAAAGGCCTCGTAGCCACAGAGACGGCAACAGAAAGGCCTCTGGTCATTAACAGGCTTTTCTCTTTTCAGGCTCCTACCAGGCACTTTCCTGCGACTCTCCTCTCCACTATCCCCATTAATCATCCGGTTACAGGCTGAGCTGCTCTTAGTTGGACTCGTACCTCCATCAAGGCCCTCTGAAACACTCATCTCCTCCTCCTCGGCTCCACCCTCTTCATCCTCATTGGAGTGGTGGCTGGAGAGGGTGCCCAGTTTGTGGCTGCGGATGTGAACTTTGAGGTTGCCCTTCTGAGAGGCCCTGTGGTCACAGTAGGGGCATTTGTAAGGGCGAGCACCAGTGTGTCGTCTCATGTGCTGGGACAATGAGCTGAGGAACGGGAAGCTGCGTCCGCAGACGTTGCAGTCAAAAGCCCCTGGGGTTTTGTCTTCCTCCCCATCAATGTCATTTCTATGGCTGACCTTGTCTCCAACCAGCTTCTCCTTCCCTGCTGCCCGGGTCTCCATCACCTCCACACTGTCTCTAGAATTCATAGTACAATCCAAACTACCCTGTACTACCTGGTCTTTCACAAGCTCCAAAAAAACTACTGCGATCTGCTTTTGCACATCTAGGTAAGTCTAGCGTGCTTAAGTTCAATTGTTATCTGCCTTCAATCATCCAGGGATCAAGCTGCTTACACAGCAGCTCATTTAGCACTCTCCAGTTACTGGATGCAACACCATCTATCCATCTTCATCTGGCACTGTCAATGAATCAGTAGTTCAAACTATCTACATGCCACAGGCACCATAGAAAGCAATGCATGTAGCTTTATCATTTATTTTGACACGTGCTTATGGTCTCTTTGTCCGAACAAACACATTTCTGTCTTAATTCCAGGTCATCATTGTGTCAGTGGAAAGAGGTTTTGAGTACTTTTCCGCCACACTTCTGTTCTTCATTTCATTGTCTTCTCTCCATTCTCTTCAATCACACTGCATATCCTTCACCTACAAAAGCAACACAGAAGAAAGACACAAACGGGGGTGGGGAGGGAGAAAACAGACAAAGAATGTGTAAGTAAAACAGAAATATACCAAAGGTAATCCATTTTCAGACACATTTAGTTACCCTTTGCCTGCACACACATCTACACTAACTCCTGCATGTAGGTGGCCTGATGGTGTGGTAGATCTGCATGTATTTGTGTAGTACTGTGAATTTATGTAAGACCCTGGTTTGGTCATCTTTTTAAGGCAGCTACAAACAGGACAGAAAACAGTGCATGACCTCTTTAGAAACACCTAACACAGAATCAACTTATGATTTACACTACAATTACATCTACCCCTTTTTATTGACAAACATATTTATCTTTCTTAGACCCTGCGTCTATTGTTACTTATATGAGTTTATACAGATTTACATCAGTATACATTATGGATTAGCTATTATCATGTAAGTCCACCATGTATCTGTGGCTGACATTGTGCTCCACCACTGTGCACGTGCATGTGTGGTTGTGAAGAGCTGTGCTGGGCTCGGGGCTCTGACGCCACACTGGCTGAGTCGACACTTTACACAATCAGGGTGTGGGGGGGTGAGGGGCTGTGTTCACATCAGCAAGATCAGCAGTGCCACCATATTCCCTCCCCATACTGGCCTCATGCACCCGCCTCAACTGACGCTATCACATGACAGGGATCTTAAGTACACAACAGGAAGTGGCTCTTCAGACAGTTTGCTTTGCTCTATTTCTCAAACTGGAGTTCAATGGGGTGGGGGAGACAGTAAAACAGAAAGAGAAAGAAAAGAAGAAATGAAGCAGTGTTGACTAATTAAAAAAAAAACTGCTGTAATTTCAATTGACCTATTAAGTTGTATAATGTTACACATCTGCCAAATGTGTCAGATGTTTTCACCACATTTCCTTTTTATGACCTATTATTATTTCTTGCAGCAAAGTCCCAATATTCTCACAAGAATTCCTCAAAGTTAATCACATCTTTATTCTTTTCTCCGTCTCAGCTCATCGATACTATCATTACAAAAGAGCCATTTTCTGTTACAGCTTTGTTGATTAAACTGACATATTTCTTACTGGAGTATACATTTCAGCCGATGCTAGATCCTGAGAGTGTGGACTGAATGAAATGCGACTGACAGCATTATTATAGGCTATTATATCAAGTGACAGGGCCCATGAGTTGAGTTACTGCCAGGCTCTAATTATAAGTGGATAATTGATCATAATCATAAGAGGATAAGGTGGTGGAGGAGGGAAGTTAGCACCAGAACAATCATATGTCTTAAACTCTCGCGCTGAAAATGACTACCCTGCGCCAAAGCCACCTATCTATCTAGAATGATTTATGCTATTGAAATCAGAGCGCCCTCAATGGCTTGCCATCCTTCCTCCTGGAGTGCTTGGTAAGCTTAGGCTTCCAGCTGACAAGAACAGTGCTGCTCCAGCCAGCATTGCAGCTGTGGCTGACATTAGATACAAAACGTATCTCCAGATCCATATCTTTTTGTGTCTAAATGTTAGGATTAGAATTGGGGGTTAGGGATAGTCTCAATGTTGATAAGCATTAAGGCTCACTATATCCATATGCGTTTTCAAAACATTAGGTCTTTTACATTTGTAGCCACGCTAGTGACATAGCTCTAAGGATGGCAGTGATGATCTGTTGGTCAAATGCACCACTTTGGTCCAGACCAAACTACTTGATGGATTCCTATGAAATATTCTATGTACATTCATGTTACCCAGAGGATGAGTCTTGATGACTTTTAAGATTGCCTTTAGGTCTCCTCTAGTGTCACCAGCAGTTTTTACTCTCAGCATCCCAATGATGGACTGGCGTACAATTTGGCATAGACATGTACAGATTCCCCATGATAAATGATGTCTGTAGTGATCCCTATCTTATCCTTTACAGCACTTCTAAGGGGTTCATATGATTTTGAGCGAAATGTCTCAACAACTTTTGAATGGATTGGAAATGAGAATAACTTGATTGATCTTCAGCCTATTCTAGAGGCTTATTTCAAGCCTTTTTTCCAATATGTAAGACTTGGTAGAAAAGACACTTGAACTTCATTGAAGGCAGAAACAAAATGATGTTTTGTAACATTCAGTGTTTGGTTCTTAGCAAATGCTCTCATGCTATCACGCTAAACCAAGAAGGTGAACATGGTTAACAAGAGGCCTGTGCAACATCCGTTTTATTACATTAACATCTACTGACACTAACATCTAGCTCAAAGCATCACTGATCCTCACAGAGCCGCTAGAATGATGTTATCCTTTTGTATTGTTTTTACAAGCATTAATTTGTCTTACATGCAGAAGAATTGATGAACATCATAACACCATATTGATTCTTTGTGAAGACGTTTACATCCTTCCCTAAATTCACATAACTGCCGTCCTTTATAGGTCTCATGCATGTGCTTTGGTGACGTGACATAACATATTCCAAATATTTTATGAAGTATAAAAAAACATAAAATTCAATGAAGTGATTTTCATGAATTTATGAGCTTGGATTTAACTAGAGCGATAAGAAAATAAAGAAAGTATTGATACACTTGACAAATCATTTAAATGAGGAACAACACAGCTTAAGGGAATAATATCCAATATGCGGCGTGATCAGGTGACAAGAGACATAAATCAGCAAAATAAGTAACAACCCATTTTATCCATCTACCATAGTTTCCCCCTCCATCTGTTCCATCTGCTCTCCATCTCCACAGCCTAATGTTACTCATTAATACTTAGTCGTTTCTTTTCTGGCGCTAAAAAAAGAGGATAATAATCTTATTTCCTGTTAAATGGCCTCGCTGATTGGGGGTCAGTATAGAGCCGAGGGGGGTTGAGACTCTTCAACAGTAAGCCTGTCATCCACCAGGCAGTCGCATGTGCAAATTGAAATGTAATGAGATTAGCCTCCAGAAGGGAAACAATGCAGGCTCCTCACCGTAAAGGAAAAGGGGGGAGAGAAAAATGACAAATTGGCTTAAGGGGGGAGAAACTGTCCAGGAGAGACGAACAAGATTAGCAATCATCGAAGTCATCAAAAAAGAAAAGAGGCATCAAAGCCGTTCTTAGAGCAGACATGGTGCACTAAATGGATGACATGTCATCCTGAAGCTAGAAAGAACCGTCCACTTAGCAGCTAATGAACCTCTCGCAAGACCGGAGATAGTTTCAGGCAAGAATTTCTGTTTTATTTCCTAAGTATGTTTAAATGCTGTATTCTCGTGGAAACACTTTTCTGATCACCTTTAAATACTTCAGACCAGTCCAAACCTTGCTGGGAAACGTCATTGTTCTGCTATTAGACGTGCCATTAATGGACACTTAAACTGCACCACAATGAATCACTGGGAGTAAGTGGAGGCCTACGCTCAGCTGATAATGACTGCTGTGTCAAACAAAAACAAACTGTTCTTTTTTTCCCCCCTCAATTCTTGCAATCTCAACTTCTGCTTTGTGAACACTGAACCGTAGCAGCTGAAGTTGGGTCAGAGGAGGAAATCCACTCTTATTTTCCCATCCATACGCAGCCTTCGCAGAGCTGTTTGGCTATTTCTGTTCTAGAGACTCCTGAGGTTCACATCTGGAGTGAGTCTTGAAACTAAGTGTCAAACTGTGCCTGAAGGCCAGAACCAGCTGAATGGTTTTCAAATCACAAATTAGTACTTTTTAAAAGCAAGACTTCTAACGTTATAACGTTCTTATTTATGTTAACTTTTACACCTTAAAATGTCTATAAACGACTATATTCTGTTGGGTTATGTACTAACTTATCCCAAGTGTTTTTTTTTCAATTTTCAAACCTAGAGAAATCCATCATTTTAATCATGGTAACATCTGTTTCATGTCCCTTCTGTGCAATCAGCAGCAGTTGTGGTTGTCGGCCAGAAGCTGTCCTAAATGGGCTTGTTATCTAGTTTCAAGCCAAACTTCTACAACACTTTTAAGATCTTGGTGTTTTTTTAACTATGAATGAACTGTAACTGGATGAAGGATTTAAGTCATCGGGCATACGGATCATACATTCTTAATCACAAGAACAATCTAACAAACGTTAGTGTTCAGTGGGCACCAAACAACATTGAAGAAACACAGTGTTTAGTGTTTCAACGGTTTTGATCACCGTGTTTGATTATTTTGCAATGTAAGAGACCTCTGAGGGTTATTTGTCTCCTAGAAAAATCCTCCTGAACGTCTGCAAATGAAGTCATGACAGCAACAAGCTTAGCAAAGTGGCTCTGCAAATAATATTGGTTACCTGAAAAAATCTCAAACGATTAATCTGACTGCAAAGATGGCAAAGGTGTCAAAAACAACAACTCCCATGATTCCTCGCTACTTAAGCGAGTTTGAGCCCTATAAAAATCCCATGTGGTGTTATTATTATTATTATTATTATTATTATTATTATTATCACTTCAGGATGGGTAGGTAGTGGTACTATTATAAAAAAAGGTTTTTCAAATTGGTGACAAAACAGGACTACCCTTAAAGGTGACCTATCATTTAAAATGCACTTTTGTACGTCTTTTATACATGAATATGTGTCCCCGGTGTTCCAGGGAACTCACCAAGTGTCAGAAAACACAACCCTCTCTATTTTCCTCCATACCCAAATCTCTTAAAAAGGGGCTGCAACGGATCTGATAGAGACTGATCCAGATTTGAACACTTCTATGACGTCACAGAAGTGGCGCTACGGCTATTGGGCCAACTCCACCAATCAGGAGGAGACAGCCACGGACATTGCCAGTTGAAAGCGCTGGAGATGCTGTAGTACATATGCCAGGCCTGTACATGGTGTTAAATTGAGCGAAATGAGGAATGGCTAAAATGCATGATCTGTTTGGTATTTTGAAAAATAAAAAGTATAAATATGCCTTATATAGGTATGGTCCTACACTATATTATTCAAATATAGCATGATAGGTCCACTTTAAAGAGAAATTCAACAAAGAGTCATAC